CCTAAAGGATCGACAGGATCATCATTAAGAAGATCATGACTGGATCACTCTGATGTCATTTTGGAATATGATGTCATTTTTTGATTTGGAGTCATGTGACTTTTTTCTGTTTGCTGATAGGTGGGCAGTACGATCGCTACGGCAACCTACACACTCTCTCTCTCTCACACACACACACACACACTGATTGTACACACTTAAACACGTGTGTGTGTGTGTGTGTGTGTGCAGGTTAACGGACGTCTGACGCTGGGCGAGAACATCGCTGATCTGGGTGGACTGAAGTTGTCTTATTATGTGAGTTTCATCAGAATCACAATGTCAGTCTGTTAATGTCGAAATTACAAAATTTAACAAAACTTTAAAACTTGTATGAAAATCCACAATGAGCAATGTTCCTGTTTTTGGTTATAAACTCTCACTTTTAGGCAAATAAAAACCATTAATCAGTTAAAGTTTCTATATTAAACAATAATTAAATGTTTAGCAATGTTTGCATAGACTAAAAGTCACCTTTATTTCTATTGCACTTCATAAACTGCAAATATTGATTTATTCCTTAGTATTTTTGTCTTGTTTTCCCGTACAAACATCTAAACATTCTTAAATCAAATATACATTTACTTGAGATGCAAAATGACTTAAGATATTACGTCTTATTTCACGAAAAATGTATTAAACCAAGACAATCAGCATGTTATTGCTGAAGCGAAAGCGTTTCAAAAAATGAAAAGGTAAAAAAGGTATAGAAGTTTAAATTTACTGTAAAAAATGTACTGTACTAAAAAAATATTTAAATAAATACTTTAGAAAATATTTTTGAATCTAACATTTCGACAAAATCAAAGCCATATGCATATTTAAGTTATGTTCCAAATTTGAAGTTGATATCACAAAAATTTGAGATTTTAAGTGCTATACCAAAAATAGCCACCAGGTGGCTCCCAAACTCCACTGATTTTTTTCACATTGCATAACATCATTCGATCATCTATGAATGTTGATTTGTGCCGGTCTGCAGGCGTATCAGAAGTGGGTTCGTGAACACGGGCCGGAGCGTCCTCTGCCGGGACTCAAATACACACACGAGCAGCTCTTCTTCATCGCGTTTGCTCAGGTAAAGCAGATTAGTTCCTTCAGCATTAGTTAATACTGCTTCAGTGATATTCAGCTGCTCTGAAATGTTTTCTACACGTTTGCATCACAGAACTGGTGTATGAAGAGACGATCGCAGTCGATTTACCTGCAGCTGCTGACGGATAAACACGCACCTGAACATTACAGGTACAACACACAGCTTAATTAATACTCCTCGTTAGAAGCGTTTACTAAGTCAAACATAAGTATTACTACCCCAGCTCTATCTAGAGACCGATTTGTTGGTAACTACAGTATATCGACTTTCTTTGTGTTGTTATTGTTTTGCATAATGCTTAACAGATCATTAATTCTGTACATTGAAATTATTAGAAATATTGTTACATTTATAAGGCTGTACCAAATTAAAACAGACAAAATAATCAAAGCAGAAATAAATAAAAGAAAGTAAATAATTACATAACCAAATAAATAAATTAGTGTAATTAAGGCGTTTATATCAATTCATAAATACATAGATGAATTCACTTATTTTAAATTATTCATCCTTGTATATCTGATACTGAAATATGACCAGCGTTATTTCGATATCACTGAGACAATATTATAGTTTTTATTAATATTTTTAATTTATATAATATTTTCTATTTTTTCATTTTTTAATTTAGTTAAAGTTCTATATTTTTTTGTGTGTTTTGTCATTATTATTATTATTATTAATGTTAATGGTAGTGTCTATAGTTTTTATTTAGAAATATTAATTTTATTTTGGTTATTTTAGTACATCAAAATTCACTTATTTTAAAATGATTTGTCCTTGTATATTTGATACTGAAATATGACCAGTGTTCCCTTTCAGTCGGTCACTCTCGACGTCACGTCGGATGACTTATATTTTCCATTTTTCATTTTTAAATTTAGTTAAAGTTCTAGATTTTTTGGTGTGTTTTTGTCATTTATATTATCATTATTATTTTAATATTATCATCATCATCATTATAATTAATTTTTTAAATAATTTTAGTAAATATTGATTTAATTAATTAATTAATATTTATTATTATTTTTAATATGTCTATATAGTTGTTATTATTTTTTAAACTAAATTAGTCTTAACTAAGTCTGTCTGCAGGGTGATCGGCAGCGTGTCTCAGTTCGAGGAGTTCGGCCGTGTGTTTCACTGTCCCAGAGGGTCGCCCATGCATCCGGTCAACAAATGCGCCGTCTGGTGACCTTTGACCCCTGAGCGTCTCCTTATAAGCCCCGTTTCCATGACGAACCGCCCCGAGCTGCTCCGACGCCGCTTGATGTTTACAGCATTTGAAGAGTGATCAGAAATCAACCTCGTCCTCATCGTCACGTGCCATTTTTCAGGCGGATCTTTCTTTGAAATGTTTATTTTTATATTCGGATGCAGAGCGTGGCTGAAGTTTGTACGGAGAGTCAGGTGTGACTGTGAGGATGAGGTGTGTGTGAGCCGCTGTACTGTAGGCATGTTGATGTTTTGATATGACGTGTTTTGTCAGACATGTTTAGTGTTTTTTTAAGTAGAAACGGCTGCTGAACTGACTGTTGTCAGCCTGACAGAGGAGAAAAATCAAAAATACAGTGATTTCACGTTGCCCCTGTGTCGATTCTGTGGAAACCTGTGTCTGCCATGGAAAAAATATGCATAAAAATGTAATTACGACTTTTTATCTCACAATTATGCCTTTTTTCTCCGTTTATATATTGCAATTCCAAGTCACATACTCGCAATTCTGATTTTACACCGTTTTCTCGCAATTCTGGCGTTTTTCTCATAATTCAGAGGTTTTTCTCATAATTCTGTTTTTTTCTCGCAATTCTGACTTTTTTATCGTAATTCAGACGTTCTTCTCATAATTCGTACTTTTTTCTCGCAATTCTGCCTTTTTTTTCCGCAATTCTAATTTTTCCACAATTCAGACTTTTCTCATAATTCTGACTTTTTTCTCATAATTCTGACTTTTTTCTCGCAATTCTGACTTTTTTTCCGCAATTCTGACTTTTTCTCGTAATTCAGACGTTTTTCTCATAATTCTGACTTTTTTCTCGCAATTCTGACTTTTTTTCTGCAATTCTGACTTTTTTTCCGCAATTCTGACTTTTTTTATCGGAATTCAGATGTTTTTCTCATAAATCTGACGTTGTTCTCATAATTCTGACTTTTTTCTCGCAATTCTGACTTTTTTATCGTAATTCAGACGTTCTTCTCATAATTCGTACTTTTTTCTCGCAATTCTGCCTTTTTTTTCCGCAATCCTGACTTTTTCTCGTAATTCAGACGTTTTCTCATAATTCAGACGTTTTTCTCGCAATTCTGACTTTTTTATCGTAATTCAGACGTTCTTCTCATAATTCGTACTTTTTTCTCACAATTCTGACTTTTTTCTCGCAATTCTGACTTTTTTTCTGCAATTCTGACTTTTTTTCCGCAATTCTGACTTTTTTTATCGGAATTCAGATGTTTTTCTCATAAATCTGACGTTGTTTTCATAATTCTGACTTTTTTCCGCAATTCTGACTTTTTCTCGCAATTCTGACTTTTTTCCGCAATTCTGACTTGTTCTCGCAATTCTGACTTTTTTCCGCAATTCTGACTTTTTCTCGCTATTCTGACTGATTTCTCATAATTCTGACTTTTT